CGACAACGGGCGCCGTCAATTTTCGACCAAGGCTGACCTCATTGCCTGTGTGTGTCAAGTTTGGGACGAGATCGACATCTTTGCTCAAGAAACTTTTGGCAGGGATGCCGAAGCGATGCGACTTAGTTGTGGCGAGCAAAGGCCGTAAAATCAAGTACTAAATGAGTGCCTCTTAAATGTGTCATATCATTATTTCTTCGACAATTTTAGTCTCATGGCTCTCGAATACAATGGAAGTGAAATAAAACGTTCCGATGGTCACACCTATGCTCTAAATGATAGCACAAGGCTAACAATATAGTCGTTGTACTGGCGAATGCCCACGACAAGCCTTCTATTGAGAAAACACCTGCCTGGCGTATCTTTATTTCGATCACTGTATGCACAAGCATGTGAACGGCTCAACTGCCAAGATACTAGCAAAGTACAGGGCCCAGCGTGCTGGAAAGCGTTCCGTGGCTTTTACGAACTTTGCCTTCGGTGACTTCGTTTCGGTGGCCCGAGCGTTGAAATACCCAGGAAAACTGACTTTGCGTTGGAAAGATCCTTTCCGTGTGGGAAGATTGGGAAGCCCACCGGTTGCTGCAAAGGGTGCCCGGATGAGGAAACTGGCCCTGGTTTCGCCGCTCCAAGCTGCCGACTTTACATGGCCGACGGCGAACGCGATAACGGCACTTCAGCGTGACCACCCTGGATGCGCTGAGTTGGGCTCCTGGAACGAGGACAAGAAGTGTTTCCTGGCCAAGTCGGGGAAAATTTGGATCCCTGATGATGCCCTGGACATTCAGATGCAAATATGTGTGATTGCTCATGCCGGCGTGGCTGGGCACCGACGCCTGGACGCGACGACTCGGTCTGTATCCGAGATGTTTGACTGGACGACTCTGGAGGCCGACGTCAAACAGTTTGTGACATCGTGTCTTCACTGCATGGTGGTGGATGGTGAGTCCGTGCCGAGACCCTGGGGTGAAGAACAGTATGCGACCGAGCCGAACGAATTGATCCATTTCGACTGGTTGTCCCTTCCAGTTTCCCAGGGTCTGAAAAATGTCCTTCTTATCAAACACGACATGAGTGAGTTTGTACGTCTGCATGCCAGTGCGACTGCTACAGTTCTGGACACGGCTCAGCATTGGTGGAATGGTTTGGTCGTTTTGGTGTGGCGAAAACCTGGGTGACGGATTGCGGATCCCATTTTAAAAGTAAGGTCATCTCCAAGCTGCGTCGAATGCTGGGTGCGCGGCATCACTTTGTGATCCCTCATTGTCCCTGGGCCGACGGAACTGTTGAGATTGTTAACCGTCTGATTGTCCGAACCCTGAAGGCCTTGTCTAGCGAGTTACGTTTACCAGCGCCTGAGTGGCCGCAGCTGCTGCTCCTGGGTAATCTGCGCTGCACCGGCAGCCTGTTGATCGCCTGGATGGTATTGCACCAACTACAACATTCACTGGACTGCCTG